ATTATCAAACCCTCGCTTACTGACAGCGACTTCCTCCGGATTTGCTTCTCTGGTTACCGTATGTAGCAAGAGCAGCTTTGTTCAAGGGGCCACGTAGCTTTCCTTTTGGTAAATAAGATGAAATTGATAGTTTCACCGCGGCGAAAACTATATAAGCACATCTTTATGTATCCCGAGAAGAGCGCGTGAGAGTTGGACACTAATTTCCTGTGAGAGGGGTATGGTCGCAGGGTTCCATGGCTAAGTTGTCTTTTGTCAGGTGTTTGAGTGTTATCTTTGCCATAACCAGTTGATCCATATATGACTTAATATCCTATGAAAATTTAGTCTGTTCTGGAATTGTTAGGTTCATTTTCCACAAGAATTAGCGTTTTCCCATGAAAGGAACTTCAATTTTCCTAAAGGCCGTGAGCTCCCATGTCGCGACTGGCGCGGTTTGTTTGAGAGTCGTAATTCGGCAACTGATCGCGTGAGATGTTAAACAGTATTTGGTGATGCGTTTTAAGTATGCAATGTAAAGATGTTTTTATGTACCGAATGAATGCCGGCACTTTCTACAAAACCTATTTGAATTTATAAGAGCATCGTAACGCAAGAGGACGAATGCATACAACGCTTGTGTTTTTCCGGACGGCTAGAACCATATGCATTAAAATTACGGCATCCTGGCGTGTCTTTAGTACCTTGAGATTATGCTGCCGGATAATCAATTCATGCTCAAACTTGATTAATTCTTTCGAATGGAAATTGAAGTTCAGAACTTTGGTTCACGAGATCTGTCACTGACTGTATTTCGACAGGATAGGCGCTACTTAGTAATATCTGGGCAACGATTAGCGTTTAACTCAACAAAATGCTCTGTACAGAGACAGCTGTTGGTGAAGTTTGATTCAAATTAAAAACGAGATTTGTTTTCAGAATACTTGGATGTCATATCGGAATGGACATTTAATTCCTCTTCGTTTTCGCGGTTAAAGGATAAGTGTTAAATAACATGCATAAGCAGCTGTGTCCTAATTACTTAAAGCTCCTTGCATGATCGACCATGTTAGCGGTATCATCAAAGCTCAGAAGCTATATGGAACAATCGTTTAGTGCTTATGCTCTTTATAATAGTCACATTTGCAGCCTGGGTCCAAACGAAGAAAAGTAAATGCTCCAAGTCAATATTTTCACCATTTGTTTTCTCTATCAGAATATAAATTCGGTAAACTTACCCCCGGAAGTTGGTTGTGGGACAAAAAGGCCCTCGGGGATTGAGCACAAAAGAGTAAACCAGACGAGCAGTCGATATGCATTCAACATCTCTTGAGATTATTAGAAACCAAGTCATAAGCCTCGACACGAAAATCGCGCCGTGTACTTTTACCTACGCGTAGGCCATAAATAAATACTCCTTTGTGTACTTCTATCCGCTCTAGACGCCATGTGTCTGAAAGGGAGTATTTTGATTGGTCGCAGTCATCCAACTGCTGACACACGTAAGGTGTGCCGGAAGCCCGCCCGTCTGGCAACGGGATAAACAACCTGAGCAACAAATCAATTTATACAGGATAGAATAATGTGACCGCGAGCAAGTAAGTACAGAAGATGCTTGCGATACTTCGTTAAAAAACTGATACTTTCCCTTAAGGAAGACGGCCTAGTTGATTTTACCAATAATGTATTTCACGAACATTTAGCATGCGAAAAACGGTCGGTTTGGTGCCAACTGCACATGCTGAATATATTTTCAAGCACGAAATATTACTGAAATTCGGCCTTCAAGTCAATAAGCACAAGATAGTATTAAATTATTTTTAATCCCCCTGGCAAGTCTCCTTTCATTGAAGGAAACCTCCCAGACGTATTCAACGCTATTAGTTGAAGATAATGTTGTTTTGAAAGCATTGTCCTTTTGCGTTTACAGCAAGTAATTCACGAAGGCTGACTAAGATCATTATAGAGCACGACAATTAGGCCGAACTACAGCCACCTTTGTGCTTAGTCCCGGGGCTTGGAAAGTATCTAGCGTTTACCTTTCATTAGTACCTTGCTTGTGTTGCAAAAAATTACTCGAATTAATCTGGAAAACGTAGAATTTATAAAAGAAAGTTTGCCACCGGTGAATACCATGGTTTGTGCGTCTCCACGATTTCCTGGAGGGCAAATATTTTGTTCTACTTTTTCAAATAAAAGCCCATAAGATCGTTGTTTCCATAAAACAACTCTAATGAATTACGTTCCAACTGTTTATTCCATAATTCAATTCATACCTTTACCTCCGTACTGGTAGTCTATTAAAGGAGCAGTAGCCTTCGTCTTAGCAGTAAGGTTGTTAGCTTCCCCAAAACAGATAAATGCTGGCGCTTTTTTTCCTGGCCACTTTAAAAAACTAGGAGATGAGGAAAAAGAAGTGAATACAGGTTTTTTTATCATGCCCTAGGCGGATGGGAAAAAATAGCTTTATTATTGGTCATCAGAACACCACAGCGCAAGAAAATGCAGACTTTTAACGTCACACTTCACCTCTGCATTATTTTGTTCTTATTCAACATATGGTCAGTAGCTTTATTAATTTCCGTCAAGAATAAGCCAAAAGTTATCTTTTACGTATTTATCTTTGGTTGCATCTTCTTAATCTATCCACTACCTGTCAATCCAGAACGTGTTGGGTAACACAAATCTTACAATATGTGCCCCTGTCTACCTGAGGTGATTATAATTACCATCCAAATGAGTTAAACGGGGTTCATAGGAATCAAGCTGCATTGTGGGCTTAAATTTATAAATGAACACCAAACTATTCCCTTTATTTTATGGAATTTCCTGGGTCTTTGAAAATTTGACATTAAATTAATTGGGTCTATAGAGACCTGATATTTACGAATCTCATTATGGTCTATTTGTTCCGGTTTGATTAGTGAATTTATAGCTGAACGTAATGTTCTGTTAAAATAATAGAGTTTATAGTTGCCTCCAGTTACATGCGAAGTTAGTACGAACGATCACTTGCACAATAATATACTCCAAAATGTCGTTAAAAAGCACAAAAGCTTTTCCGTTTATAAATAAGTATCACAGACGAATTGGATAAATTTTTAGTAAACTAACCTAAATATGAAACACGTATAACACGTTTTTACAGCAAAGCTGTTATTGTTTATCGCGTTCAGAAGCACCCAGAAGGTTCCCCTTCATTATTTTAAGGTGAATGTTTGCTATAAGGTTCATTAACTGAACATATCCAAGGTTTTTTTAAGCAAACCAGCATAATGTTTGCATTGTTGCAAGGATCGGTATGGCCTTCTAGGACAAAAACAGTTGGCTGCTGGGAGGAACTGGCAGGAATCGAAAATCTATTTACGCGGCAGGGATTATGTAAGCTCTCTTTTGTGCACTATAGAAACGTTGCACCACCAGGTTGCGAAAAGAGCTTTGTTTAAACGAAATTAAATAACCTTATGCTTTCTCTAACGTTATAAAATTTAAATCTAGATTCCGGATGAATCCTCTGGAAGTCCGCTAAATACCACTTACTTCTCCAGAATTAAAAGCCGTTTTTGTCATCGGGCGATGGGAAAATGCGTAGCAGATTTTGAAGCAAGGATTTCTTCCTAAGTTTAATGAGTTCCGACATGTCCATAAGATCAGCAGTCATTCAATTACGGCTATTCACGCTAAAAAAATCAGAACTCAAGGAAAAGGTTTGAAAGATTGGCTTGTAGCTAAAAGCAATGACGTAATTAATGGTGTACATGAAAGTTTAAACTCCAATTCAATGAAGGAGACATGTGAGGTTTAACTTTAAAATAGCCATCGTAGGTTTTCAAAGAACCGACAATAGGAGATGCGCATGCACTGAACTCAAATCGCGGATACGAATAAAGAACTTTTGGATGGAGGTGATATGAAATCGCCTTCTGGTGTCGGTTTCGGCCACGGGAGGGTCAGGG